CTATTCAGCAAGGAGACTCCCTTTGATTAGGACTCTTGTAATCTCCTATTTAAGGAGACCCCATTATTGAATGAGATATCAAATTATTCAGTCAAGAGTGAGGTAGGAGAGTTGGTGATCTCTTGGACAAATCACCGAAGGCGCCAAGATAGGTTCATCACGAGCAAGAAGGAACAAGGGAAAACAGGAGGTTTTCCCCGTGGACCGACCCGTGGCGAGATCCTATTCCCGGGCCCTCAACAGTGTGTGTGTGTGTGTGTAATATAACTATGTGTATATATTATATACAACTTTATAAAGTTTATAACTGATAAATTTAATACTTTATACTTATATACATTTATTATACATGTAGAAGTTAAAAGTAATTAGATTTTATAACTTTTTTGTCATTTTAAACACAATAAGATGGATGCGGATTAAATCCAAATCCGATGTCAGGATCCAAAGGTTTGATAGTTGGACCGGATGAGGATGTAGCTGGATCCAATCAGAATCCGATCCAATTACAGTCCTATAAACCAACATTCGCCCTTAACTAGATCAAATTCAAATTCAGGTTCAAACAAACAGATTCCTTTTGCAGCCATTTAGCAATTTGTTGGTTGAACTAGTAGACTTTCATTTTCCATATCTGATTTTCCTTTCCCTAACGGATTTTGAATCTGTGAGCCTGGATCATTTGGTTTTCTTATTTCAAAGTTTTTCTTTTAGAAATAATGTGCATACTTCTCTTTGAAAAATGAAGGGAAATGTATATTTGCCCACCTGACTTGTCAATATTCAACTGGTAGGGCTACATCAGGAATAAGTAGCCTAATTAGCATAACAACTATAATACCTGGATATGGAAAGGACATGGATGGACAAAGTCTTGGACATGGAACTTACATTGAATATGGAAGTGTCTGATATGATATAGCACTCATCTAGAAATATCTGGGGCTATCATAACATAACAATCCCTTTTATAAAATATACTTGACCTTTTCTTTGAAAAAAGAATTAATAGTGTGTTTTCTGTAACATCTTCTTGCCAATGTTATTTCACTTGTATTGCTTTTATTCATCCAAGTTTCTTTCCCTCTTTCCTCTGACATAAGCCAATTTGTATAATTGTTTTAAGAACTCATCCTAACTGCTGATGACGTGGGTGATATGGGGCAATACATAATGGCCATGCATATAATGTTAAGGTCACAACTTTTGTCATGTTGCTATCTTCAGATATGTAATTCAGTAAACAGTGATTTATCATTTCACTCCATCTTCCATCAGAAATTATAGTTCGGAATTCAAAAATCTCAACTGGTCATTTGTTGTTTGGATTATTACACAGCATGATGTTTTCTTGATATTCAGCAATGCCATGCGTTTTAATTCCTCAACAACCATATTCTTCAGACAGGTATGCTCATCAACTCCCTGCTAAGTGGGGTATAATGAAAATAAATAGAAGTTTAAGCTACAAAGAAAAAATCTTACTTTATGGCACATAACCTTGTATATTTAGGCTCTTGCCATACAAGAATTGGCCAAGAAAGTATTTCAAGCTCTGAAAATTGATCCTGAGAACTTTGCGATGGAATTCTTGGTTATGAGACGAAGACATGGTAGAAAGCCTCATCATGGCACCAGATGTTCAAATCTTAATGCAGATAAAGTGAGGCCTAATAGTATGACCATTGATGTTCCATTAGATGGTAGGCCCTGTTTCTTACATGGTCCATCAAGTCACAGGAAAAGCTTCCAAACATACCGTGGGTCCTCCAGTGCAAATCACATTGATAGAAGAGATTATGAAAAACAATCTGGTATGAACTGGAAAGAGATCTACTACTTGCTTTTTGACATGTTCTCTCTTGCATTTTCTAGATTGGACATCAATGCCAGCATTTAATAAATTTTCTATATAGGAAACATATACAATGTGTTTGTTGTATGTTTGTCTCACTTTATAAGATGAAATACAATCCTCCATGACTTGTATATCTTTTAGATACACAAGCAAATGGTTCAGATTTTATAAAGCATAAATAAGAAAAAAGGGGCCCTATACAAGGCACTTACATAAGAGAAACCATTTATGAAATGTGCACGTATGGGCCTTTGTGTATCAAAGGTGATGTCAACACACCAAATTGCCTCTTTATGTACATGTATAATAACATATTACTAAGTTTTTTTTTGTTGATAAAACAAAGAAATGTAGTTTAGTACATGTTCCGATGCCTGTTAATTTTCACATATAATTATGAATTAAATGGTTACATTTGTTCTTATAAGATCTTCCACTCTGTTAATTTTCACATAAAATTATGAATCTGTTTATATCACCACAGACATATAGCCTCAACACTTGTTTAAATGCATCTTAATCCTCAATAGGATACACACATTGTTAGAAATTGCAAGCTATCATCCAAAAAATATATCTTTCTGTTACTCTAACCAACCAATCACTTTATTTGCTTTTGGATAGGGGATAAGGTAACAGGAGTATCTTAGACAAATGGTTAAGCTCATCCTATTGGTATGACTACCAGGATACAACCCTTGGTAGTTTATCCAGCTACAGTGCAGCAATAAATGCCCCACTGTAAATTCAAATATCTGGTTAATATCTGCCTTAAGCAGGAGTTCATTTCACATATGGATATACGCATATAATATCACTGCTTTCTTATCATATCTTGGTTTACTGCAATACTGTTGCTACTTACATGATCAGATTATTATTTTGTTTGCCTGTTTCATCTTGGGTTTCTAGAATGCTGATTTATTTATCTCATTTTTTTCTCAGTTTCAATATCAGAACCCCGATGTACATATAGCCCTTGGACATCTTTCCTTAATGAGAACGAATCTATAGCTTCAACAATTTATTATAGCTCAAAACAACTAATGCAGGTAAATTGTTCATATTTATCTTTTAATTTTCTTTTGTTTTCCTATTTTTCTGGAGTTTCTAATGCACTTTGTCATTTTATGCTGTTTCTTAAAATGTGATTAAACTTTTGCTGGAGTCTAATTTCTAAATTTAATGTGGTTTTGTGCACATGTAAATTACAAAGTACACACTCGCTTTATCTAGATATTGTTTATGCTAAGAAGCATATTTTGTATCTTAGAAGGAAAGGGAAGAAACAGAAAGATCAACTTGTCATAGTGTTGTACAGAGATTGGCCCACTAGTTGTTCAGTTACCCCTTCTAGATCTACTTAAAAAATTGCCTCATTGCTTCTACACTTTGTTCTAGAGTTATTCCTTTTTAACTATGCAGTAAAGTTCACCTGATCATTCTTAGTTAGTAGATAAGTGTTGGGCGTGAACACAACTTTTCACTATGTGACATAAAGGAAGTTTGCTTGAGTGTCTCATCTGTTTTCAGTACTTAGTTCCATTTTGTTTAGTAGTACTTTCTAAGATGTTATGTCTTCTTTTGGATGATTCTGGACTCTGAGGCAGCTGAATGACTTAAGGAGGCAAATAGAGAATCAAGGAAAGCCAGAAAATCCTTTCTTTTGTTCTTTTAAAACTGAGTAATGATTTTTTTCCTGTCCTGATTGAATCAAGTTTAATCATTGTTCTTTTGGATGATTCAGTACTTGGTGCGCATTAAACTAGGGCCATTGACATCTTCGTTCAATATGCATAAAATCAGAAAATCTCCAGGAATATGTTTTCCTAGTCAAAATTTTTGTCAGTATTCCTGTTATTGATAAAAAAATTGTCAGTATTTCTACTTTACTATTACATTTCTCTTTATTAGCGTCTTTCTGTGCCCAAGGAAAATATTCATCAATCCAAATTGTCCAATAATAGGGTCCAAGTTGGTCCATTGGCCAATGTTAAGTTGATTGGATGACTTAACCATCCGATAAATGGTTCCATATGTTTTTGGAAGTTTCATTGGGCAGATGTAGAAACTGAGAATCGAGGATTCATATTTTGGTACTGGATTCATATTTTACCAAAATGGATTGAGGATCAGCTGGTGAAAACTGAGAATTAAGGATCAGCTGGATTCATTTATTCATCAATCCAAATCCAGCACCATTTGTTCACTACTGGTAATGGATTCATATTTTGGAATGATGTAGAAACTGAGAATTGAGGATCAGCTGGTGAAAACATGGGGTTAAATTGAATTTACCAATCTTATATAAAACCCTCAAATTTATGACACTTTAGACAGAAAATATTATATGGGAGGAACTCAATCTTTGATCTCTATTTTACAAATTCTTAGATGCTTATGATCATATGGATTAAATTTTCTTGATTTTGCAGGTCAATCATAGAGGTCTTGGATACAGGGAGAGTTTAAAGAGGTTCATCAAAGATTTGGGACCAACAGCTCAGAAGGTGGCCAATCAGAAATTGCAAGAATGTCAAGTTCGGAGTAGAAATTATCAGGTTCTAGCACAGACTTCAGTGTGCCAGAATCTGAGTCTGAAAGATCAGGTTCCAGGAACATATTTGCAACAGGAACCCATTTCAAATGGTGAGACCAAGAGTTCCATGTCTTGGAATATCCTTGACAAGTTTTCTGAACGTCCAACTGTCCTTGCTGATGCTAGGGAAAGAAGCCATCTTCTTGGTGCCATCAGAGGAAAAGTGGCGCATGAGAATCAACCAACTGAGATTAAATTGGGATCACATTTCCCTGTCACTTGTGTTGCGGCTCCAAGATTTCTATCTATCGGTGAAACCCACCATAGCAATCAGTATTCACGTATGGTGTCAGACTCTAACCAGTTGGGTAAAGGGGTCCAGCCAGCTGATTTGGCTTCAACGTCTCCCCAGTCAATGCTGGCTAATCAGAATGACATTACTGAGCTTCATTCGGGTTTGCATTTCCCTGCTGGTAATTTTAGAGCTCCAAAAATTCTAACTATTGGTGATACCAACTCTAGCAATCAGTACTCAACTATGATGGACTCCAAGTTGGATAAAGGGGTCCAGCCAGCTGAAATAGCATCTGTACCTTCCCAGTCAAGAATGGATAATCAGAATGAGACGACTGGGCTTCAATCAAATTCGCATTTCCCTGTTGTTAGTTTTGGAACTGCGGAATTTCCAGCTTCTAGGATCACAAACTCCTTCAACGAACATTCAACCATGATATTGGATGCCATCAAGTCTGATAAATGGGTCCAGCCAGGTCATTTGGGTTCTGAGCATTCCCAGTCAAGGTTGGCTCATCAGAACCCAATAACTGAGATTCAACTGGGTACATTCTCTATCGCTGATTACAGAGCACTGAAATTTCAACCTTTTGAGGTCACAAACCCTGGAAATGGGTACTCAGCTTTGATGGTGGACTCTAGTTCAAATAAACAGGTTAAGCCAGCTGAATTAGGTTCAACAAATTCTCAGTCAACAAGAACGTCTCATTTGATCACAAACACCAGCAGTGAGCACCCAGCCACAATGGCAGACCTCACCAGTTCAGATAAACGGGTCTATGTGGCTAAGCTCGGTTCAGAGTATTCTCAGGCAAGGTTTCTTGGCTTTTTATCTACAAACAACAACATTACTGTTCCATCTCCATGGTATTCAGAATTCATTAACGTATCTAGTTCAAGCCAAGCTGCTGACCCTGTCCATGGCTTCCTGTTAGATTATTTGGATGGAGAGAATCATTCCATGGGTTCTCCAAGCCACAATTTGAGCTCATCTCAGGGAGGCCCATTTCCAGGATATAGTCAACTTGGATGTGGAGAGAATCAAGCCATAACTGCACCAAACAATAATTTATGTTTGGTTATGGAAGAGCAACTTGCAGAACGTTGTCAGCCTAGGTCATGGGGCCAGCAAGTTGCTTTTGATGCTTCATGCTTGCAGTCGAGTCTCAGTCAGCTGAACGTTAATTCATTGAGCAAGGATGCTTTCATGCAGCCAACAGGCCAGGATGTATTTGCACAGCCGGATTTGCAGCTGGGTTTGGGTCCTGAGGAAGTGTTCGTTGATGCAGCAGCGAGGTTTAACAGGGTTTCAATAAGCAGCCATCAAACAGAACAAAGTAGTCAAGTATTTATTGACAATCGGCAAATGACCTTATTGGATAATCACCAGCTTGATTTGGCTCTTCAGCTATAAGCAAAGTACTTCTTTTTGGTGCTCATTCTTTAAAGTTTAAATATAAAAACCAAAGGAAAGGAAAAAAGAAACTATTAATATACAATATCAATATTGCTTTGTTTTTCTCCCCTTAAAAGTTAAAACTGTTCTCATTCTTGCCTCGAGCAAACTAGTTGTCAACTTGTCATTGTTTTCGTGTCCCTTCTAAATGTTTCATTAATCATAGAAGAAATTAAAGTATCATTTTTCAGATTAAAACTTTCAGTTCTATAATTTTTACTTTTTTCAATTTTAAGCACGGCTGTGACTAAGCTGGCAAACAAGGTATTTTCAAACTATTATGGCAGAATTAAATAAAAATGGCAATGGAATGATGCTAAAATTTTCATATTAACATTGACATTCACATGAGAATAAAAGTTGTGGGGATATGTTACACTAAGTTTTTGCCTTTTAATTTGAAATTATGATGCATACTTTTTTTTTTTTTTGTAATTGTAATGGGCTACACAAGAGGGGCAACCCCTAAAATGCTGTATGTATGTATGTATGTATGTATGTATGTATGTATGTATGTATGTATGTATGTATGTGTGTATATGTATATACACATGCAAATATGGAGATATGTCACGCTGGGGTAGTCCGGGTTGCCCAAGGACTCAATCAAAAGTCAAGTAGAGTTCATGTTTTTTCGATCCTAACCCCAACTAACACAAAGCTAATTTGGATTCATGCTGTTTGGATTGGGTTTGGCATAACCTCGCCCAAATTACAATTGGAAAAGTATGGACAGGTCCATTGCAGATTTCTGAATTCCACTGTAGATCTATAAAAATTCAAAATGTTAAATACCCCCACTCTATACACCAATTTCCTCCTATGAATTGGCATCAATTCTGAGTTGACACCTACCCCAACTATACTTTGGGCCTAAGAATTCTGACCTTGGGCTGAATTGTCATCCTCCCAATTACAATCCTACTCGACCACTTGGCTAAAGGTGAAGTTAATTATGCTAAAATGACTAATTGGTTTAGTTGGAACTAAAAACAAAACAACCATATTGTAAAACACCCTAAGAGTGCCATTTGTCAAGTTTTAAATTCTTCAAATTGGACAACTCTTTTTGCACAGAGACCGGATCTAATAGACACAACATAAATAAGCATGTTAAATGAGCACTTGATAAATATTTTGACAACTTCCAAAAGTGGGTTTTAATCTTTTTCAAGGGTGGGCTGAGGGTATTTTAAGGGATTGGTGTAAAAAAAAATCAAGTGCACATTAAACGAGCTTACAATGTTGTACTTACTTGATCCAATCTGTCTTGCACATAGGAGGGGGATGATGTATACATAGGGGTGCAAATGGATCGGATCATGATCCAATCTGATTCTCTTTGGTCAAATTCGGATCGCCCCCCCTATTTGGATCTTTGGATCAGATTCGGATCACTCCTATTCGGTCCGAGAGTATCCAATCCGATGTATATTATATATTTATAATATAAATATATATACATGTTATTTATTTATAAATTTTATTATATTTATTTTTTTATAAAAAACATGTATATGTATGATGAAAATAATTAAAAAATACTTGTATTTTTTGTTTTTACTTTATTTAAATTAGTATATTTTATTTTTCTTTTAATAATTTATTAATTTTTAAAGAAAACAAGCCATCGGATCAGATCCGAAGATCTGACTTATCGATAGATTTGAATTCAAATTGAATCCTAATATATCTGACATGAACGGTGTCAGATCGGATTCAAACCCGATCTATTTGCATCCCTAGGTATATAAGGTGGAGGTGAATAATCTCTAGAGACTTAGAGGCCAAATTAGAACCCCAATCTCGTGCAAGAAAAGAAAAAAACTCTATTCACATAGCATTCAATCACACAGTGGGGAGAGATATTCTCAATGTACGATGGGAATCCTATACTTTCAGAGTGTATGCACAGAAATTTTGATAGAAGGAAATCCCATCTCGCCAAATTATAGGTCATTATCTTGTTTGCATCTCTGCCCATATGATGAGAATTTTCATCAAATAGACTGCAAAGGTTTCAGACTTGGGCGATCAGAGATATGATAGGCCAATCACGAGATCAGAGATCAAATCAGACCCAGACAAGACTGCTCCCTACAACGTCTCAAATACATCCCCATCATGTATTGGGAACATCTTCCAATGATAATATCGGAAATGATGATGGCATCATTTGGAGATATTCCCAATACACAGCAGAGATATGCTGGTGGGGCAGTCTTATGGGGAACTGATTTGAACTCGTGAAATATCCAATGAAACAGGACTACAAACTTACAAGAATAATTTTTTAAGGAATTTATGGACGTGTATAATACGGATGTATAACAACGTCCACGGTTGACTCATTGGCTCGTGATAATCTCATTTTTCCTTGGGTAATTGGAGTCCCGATCTGCTCCTCATATAGCACGCCTCACTTATATTTATTATTCATGGGAGATAATATTCCAGATTTAGGGTAGGATGTGGTTGTAAGGTGCACTGTCAGGAGAAGATTTCAATTCGGATAATTGGTGCTTCTTCTAAAGTTATTGGTTGTTGACCTGTTGTTGAAACCTCCCCTAAATTTTGATAATTGCAATTATCTCTTTTGAACCGACATAATTGTTAGTAGATCGTTAGTTAAAATTCTCTAAAAAGATGTATGAAAATTTCAAAATGCTCAGTTATTTTTTTAGAAAAATTTCAAATTAGTACTCTATACTTTGGGATTATTGTCATTTTGGTCCCCAAACTTTAAAAGTGTCAATCCAGTACCTAAATTTTTCAAAATGTATCAATTTAGTCTATATTACTAATTAACCATTAAGACTGTTGTGAAGAGACACAAACACCCTTCAGATATCATCTAATTTTCTTTATCAACCATTTGTTCCTTCAAGAGCATGATTGTTGGAATTGCTGGATCCTGTCCTGAATTGGCACCATGGACCTTATTTCCCCTCGATTGGGGCAAGCGTGGGTGAAGAGAAAAGATTTTCCCTGGTTTCCACCTTTCACGAAGGAGGAAGATGGTGCGCCATGGGCCATCTCTGTTCATGAAATGCATCCATTCGTCATCATTCCCCTCATTAATCAGTTTGAGGCTGGATGCAGTGATGTAGCCAATTGAGCCCCTCGGAGGAGCAAACACACACCGAATGTAAAACTACAGACAACACAAGAAAACCAGAAAAGCTGCTGCATTTGTTGATCAGATTATGGGTATAAAAAAAGGTTCTTGCGACTTGAACCACTTGGAGGAGATTATTCATGTTTTACAGATGAACCACAATTATTTTATAAATAAAATGCATGTTTAAAATACGTTGATCAGATTATTGATGTGTGTGTTTGTTTACTACTTGAACCCCTCGGTGAAGCTTTTTTTGAGCTCGTCGTTAGTTATCTTCCGTTTTCTGGGATTCTATTTCATCGAAGATGATAAATAATGTTTTATTTTGGAGGATAATTTTGATATTTTCAAAAGTTTTAAGTTGTATGTATCATCATGTGATATGATAATTGATGGATTATTAATAATAATGGCAAAATTGACAGGTTTTAAAAGTTTAAGTACTAAATTGACATGTTTTGAAGTCCAATGACCAAAGTGACACTAAGCTCACACTACATGGTACTAATCTAGAATTTTCCCTTTTATTTGGTATTAATCACCATCTGACAACAACAGTACATGGTTGCTACATCACATTAACAACTCTTTTTTCTCACAGAGATGATAATAGTGGAATTGGAAACGGCACCACCAATTGGGACAATTCATCCATATAGTTATTTTAATCAAAATGTTTATTTTACAAGTTTTCTTTACATATGACTCGTTACTCCAAACCCGTTCGACCTCTTCTCTGAAATTGATTTATTTTTCAAATTTGCCTTCATATGAATCAATCATAGGTAAAAATGCAACTTTTGATTCTCTCTTTTTTTTTTTAATTTTCATAAAATTTACATTGTATTTTTCCTAGAAAACCAGCCTCACTAGTAATTGTATGGGCATTTTGAATACTTTTATGCCTTTTTTACATGATTGTACCAGAGGAGTCTCTGTAATTGTATCAGAAAGTTCAAAGGAGATAAATGCAATTATCAAAATTTAGGAGAAGTTTAAGCAAAAGTCCAAAATTTCAAGGGAGGTTTTAACAATTTACCCTTTTTCCTTTAAGAGAGAGAGAGAGAGAGATTTTCAACGTCTCGGAAGTCGGAAGCAAAATTATTTCCGTCATCTTTCCCTCCCTAAACGCCAAAAAGCAGGAGTTTCAGAGTGGGGTATTAACAAGCACATTTCTACCTCCTCCAAAACAAATCGTGCTTTGAAAACCCTAGAAAGTCTAAGGTGCGTTTTTCATGGATATCTTCTCTCTATTGTTTACCTCTTTTTTTGGAATTTCATTTTCCGCTCAAATTCGTCAATTATTTCGATGCAATTGCGGTTCAACTTCATACATATCCTTGAAAGTCTGTAATTCTCTGTAGATTCTTTGCTGTGTTCTGATCTTCTGTTTCTTCTGATCATGGTGTCTACGAAAATCTCATTTACTGCTAATTTTCTTGTTTTTATCTTCAGTTGATCTGTTTTATTCTGGACTAGTTTGACGAAAAACAGTTGGTGAATTGTTTGCTTGTTTTCTGCTCCATTATTGTTATAGTTCGCGCATGTTTGCTTTAATACTTTGGTTGTCTTCGTGGAAATTTCTACAGTTTTAGCACAAAATCTCTGTTCAGTTTATGAGATCAATGTTTTCATTCCAATGCACTGAAGAAATATGCACATTAATTTTATTTACCTTCGTAAGTTCTGGTACTTTGGTCCCATTTGATGTAACTTCTCGGCGAAATGGCTCCGTATGTCCCGGGATGATGTTAATACCGGTAGAATAATTGTTGTTCTGCTGAAAATTTCAGCACATCATAGATGGAATCATTTGCTTGCTGTCAGCCCCTGTTGAGCTTCTTTTGGTCATGGCTTTTGTTGGCCACCTATCTTTTTGTTTCATTCTTTTAAGATAAAATGCAAGTTTCTCTTTCTTCTTTAGCTCGGTTCGTCTAAATGTAGAAGGGGCGGACAATTTTCCAATCTGAAATATTTCAGCTGTTTCCTTTGGTCCTTTTGCAACAAAATAATTTGTTCTGCCCTTTTTACAACAAAACAATAATGGCCTTAGAAAAAGAAAGAGAATGATGGGAAAGCACAAGCAACCCTAGCGAGCGGGTCAAAGAATATCTTGCTTCAACTGACATCAGCTAGGAACGTGAAACTCTATGCATAATAAAAAGATACCATCCCTTGGGGAGAAAATGCTGTCTCTTTGTTAACAAGGTGGCTTTGGAAAGAAAGATATCTTGATTATCTTCTACCATAATGATAGATTTATTGGAACCATGGATACATTATACAGAACTTATATTAAACTTTTTCTTTTATTTAATACTCTGCAGCTTTGTTATTTCATGTTTTTGAGCATGTGAGAGAAGATAGTACATATATTTAATTCCAGCAGCCTAAACATATTGCATATTTTATCAGTCTCAAACACATTGCATATTGGGCACAATGACATGATTATTGTGTCTAAATGATTTGAAGAATGTTTTCAATCTTAGTAATGTAAATTCTTGCAGTATTTCTTGGGAATAGATATAGATTTTCCTTGATATTTCTAAATAATATTCAGTTTCCTCCTTTAACTTTGGTTTTATGGTTTCATTAGAGATTTTCTTTTTTTATTCTGTCATATTTTTTTATCAAATATAAGAGAGCCTTTTGATGTTTATATGATATATTGTGATCCAAAGTTGGCCAGATATTGACTTTGTTAGATTCTTATCCCTTATTCTTAGTTCTAGGCCATACTTTTTTTTGTTAGAAAATTTTTGGCCATACTGATGCTATTATTTCCTTTTTCTTTGAACATCCTTGGAACTTCCTACCAAATAAAGGTTGGGTTATCAATAGTACATGATTTATTTTTAGTGTACAAATAATAGAAGAAGAGTAAATTCAATAAAAATTCAAGAGGAAAAGGAGGGTGATTAGCTTTTAATAATGCTTGCATTTTGTGATCTTTTCATGTATTATAGCTGTGTGTGTATATGTGTTTGTGTATAGACCTGCTGCATTCTTATAGCACTGAAGGGTCTATTTAGTACTTCATTCTTTTACCTGTTTCTGTATCTATGAATGATCTTTCATGTGCAATGTTGTCATTACTAGTTCAATCTCACTAAAAGAACCTCCTGACAAACTGGAGGTTTCTTTTTACCAGTGATGTGAGGGAACAACACTGCTGGGGGAAAGGGATCTCTGAAACCTTTCGTTCATTTGTCATCTTTTTTAACTTTGTTTTGCAAAGAAAAACTCCTGAAATAATTGGGTTATTTATCAGTTTCGGTTGTTTTTCTTGAGCTAGTTAAATTTCAAATATAATTTACTAATAAAAAAAATTCATATAGGACTTTGTAGAGCTGATGTTATGTTAAAAATTTGGATTTCTTGGTGTTCTATAGCTTTTGATTGCTTCCAGTTCTGCTGACTTCTTGCTCAACCTCCATGAGTTCAATGATTTCATCATCTCGAGGAATACATCCTCCTGCAAGACTTGTCTCATGTGAATCCCCACATATGCGGCCTTCAGGCCCTTTGGATCATTCTGAACCAGAGTTCAACGACAGTGATGAAGCAGAGTTACTGTCTGTGTCATGGAATCAGGACTATGGATGCTTTGCTGCTGGAACAAGCCATGGTTTTCGAATTTATAATTGTGATCCTTTTAAGGAAACTTTTAGACGGGATTTGAAGAGTGGGGGTTTTGGAATTGTTGAGATGCTTTTCCGATGCAACATTCTTGCACTTGTTGGTGGTGGGGCTAATCCCCAGTATCCCCCTAACAAAGTGATGATTTGGGATGATCACCAGAGTCGGTGTATTGGTGAATTTTCATTTAGATCTGAAGTTCGTGCAGTGCGATTAAGACGGGACTGCATAGTTGTGGTACTTGAACACAAGATATATGTCTACAGCTTCATGGATCTGAAACTTCTTCATCAGATAGAAACTTTGGCAAATCCAAGAGGACTTTGTTGCCTTTCTCATCATTCAAATACCTCTGTATTGGCTTGCCCGGGTCTTCACCGGGGACAGGTTCGTATTGAACATTTTGGCTTGAAGGTGACAAAGCTCATTAATGCTCATGATAATCACATTGCGTGCCTCACATTAACAATGGATGGGCTTCTTCTTGCAACTGCTAGTACAAAAGGAACTTTGATTAGGATTTTCAACACAATGGATGGGACCCGCTTACAAGAGGTATTTTGGTTCTCACCACTATGGTTTTCAACACAAAGTGAACTTTTACTTACCAAACTATTCATTGATGAAGTAGAACAATAATTTATTTATATAGGAAATTATGAACACGCAACCCAAAGAGCCATTTGGCATTTGGTAACTTTTATGAGAATATTCGTGATGATACTTTTCTGCACAATTTATGATAAAATCTATTTTGGTATGAAAAGTTCAAATTAGGATAGGGATGATCATGGGCTGGGCCATACTGGATTTTTTACAGGGTATTAACCAAGGTTCATAATTTTGATACGTATTGGGTGGTATCGGCCAATATGTATCGTATCAGGGAGCTTCCCAATACGCCCCTATAGGGGGTGTTTTGGGGTTTAACCCGGTTCAGGGGGTAGACAGGCCTTAAACCTACTGACCCCTCTGAACCAGGTTTTTAAAAAAAAAACTAAAAAAAATAGGAGAGCAAGCCCCGATACAGTCCGATACGCCCCTACTGGCTTATCGGGCTGTATCGATATTTTGAACCTTGGTATTAACAAACAGTATATTGAGCTGCTTGGGTCTGTCCTATACCTCTGGCCTGATAATATATGTCTGGGCCTGGGCCCGGGCCCGGCCCCTGGTCGGGCATCTGGACTTGCCTTTATAAATTAATAAAATTACATTTTTGGCAAAATAAAATTTTAATCTAAGGTTATATTTAAAATTACAGAAAATAAATAAAATTTTATTATGCTTATATTAATATACTACTTTACATATGCATATATACTATATTATTTATATAAAACATATCCCACAATTTTGTTTTTTTTTGACAGGAAACAATAACTTTCATTAATTAATAAAGGAAGAATTACAAAGGCTAACACTCAACAGGTTTTTCCCAACAATCTCAAACAAACCCTTACAAAGCCGCCCAAAAAAGTCCCCCCTCCCCCTCCCTTGTTTAGTTAAGGTATCTGCCATGCCATTTGCGATCTCCTAACCCTTGTATAGACAACACCAATCTCCCTTGCTAAACATGAGATCTCCCTCATAACCCCTGTCTATGAGCGCGAGTTGCCAAATTATTCATTTGAATGAAACCAAACTCGCACTAAGACATCAGAAGCAAATAGGCTCCAACAAAGCTCAAACAAATCTTCAATCTCTCCAAACTCTTTCCAATCTCCTTCCTCATCCCATATTTCTCCTCCTAGTGCTTCAGAAACTTTCCTCATATTTTCTTCCTTCCTCTTCCTTTCAAAGGCTTCAAAAGCTTTCCTAGAAAAACTCTCCCCTAAAAGAGTAATCTCAATGACTTACCAACTTCTACCTCTCTATCAACTAATCTCTTGAAACCCAAGCTTCCTTTCTTTATCTCCTCTGGCATCACAACAGAAGAAACCTCAAAGCTTTCATTTTCATCCCTACAAGCCATTATCTCTAACATGTCAACTTTCTTCAACTCTTTACCATGAGAATTTGTTGGATGAGTCTCCCTTCCGCCTCCATCCTGCAGAGAACGCCCACCACATGGGGATTCTCAATACTAGTAGTTCTAGACTTAGCTCATCTTTTTTTTTTTTGATCAATAACAGAATGTTTTATTAGATTATAAAAATTGTGAAACTTTGAGTACAAGAGAGGGGAGGTAAAATATCTTAACTCCCCCACAACAGAGAACAAGAAGGAAAGCTAAAAAGTGGCCCAAAACAAAGAATCCTTAAGCACCCCTTGCTTGGCTAACCCATCAGCCATGGAATTAGCACTTCTCTTCACCTAACTGTACTTCACCTCAATTTCCCTACTCAGCCATTTAAATTTTTTCTTTTCATTTCTGTAGCTCCACAAACCATTGCTGTCTTCCTTCAACCACCTAATTACCATCTCTGAGTCCCCTTCAATGATCAAGCATCGAATGTTTAATTCTCTTGCTCTTTTGATTCCTTCCAAAGCTGCTAAAATCTCTGCCCTAAGAGAGTCACCCTCACCAATAGGGCCAGAGAACATAGCAAAAATAATCCCAGCCTCATTTCTGAAAACTCCCCCAATCCCAGAAGGTCTAGGATTCCTTAAACTACAACCATCAAAATTCAGTTTCATGAATCCTGAAGGAGGGGGGACCAAGAAGGTCTAGAGGTCCTTTTGCACTGAGCCGAGGTAGCAACTTCTTTCCACTTTCTCAAAAGATCAGCCATGGAGAACTCTGAAAAAAGCTCCAAAGATTTCAGCCAATGACTGACCCTTAAGTGTATCAATTCAGTTAAATTCTCCATAGATCTTTCCTTGTCTGAAAAAAGTCTAGAGTTCCTCTCTTCCCATACGAACCAGCACACAGCTGCTCTAATGCTTCTCCACATGATCTTCCCTCTTTTCTTTATTTAGCTCATCTTTTGTAAATTCTTTTGTATTTGTTGGTCAGCCCTGTCCCTACCAGGCCATCTTTCAATCTCGAAAAAACCTTTGTAACATGAACAGCGTTGGTCTTACTTGAAGCTCTGGGTTTTTTTAGAATCTCCAAAGCATCACTCATATTGACCAAAACATTCTTCTTCCCTTTGCGACCCAAGTCAACTCCCAGCCACTTCAGAAACTGAAGAATCACTTTCCCTAATTTAACAGCATGAAACAAATTTTCAACAGAGCTCACTTTCTTATCCTTTCCTCCTTCTATGCCACCTCCCTCCTCCCTGTTCACCACCTCTTTCACCGCTTCCACTGCCTCCACCCCAGTTCCACACTCCTCCCCATCTCCCAAATATTAATCTGCTGAAACTCCCCCATTCAAAACTGCAATTGCAACCCTATTCTCCTGGCATAACACTGGAGGAACAAAAGTACTCGTACCTCACTCACCATTGACAGAGTCAAAAGACCTGAATCAGCTCACCAAAGGGAATGTCCTCGGACCTCGATGAGTCTTCATGATTCACTGAGCCATTACCACCTGCAGAATCTCCAGTAGCAGTAACCTCCAGCAAATTGGAGCTCACACTTACCAGACGCTTATGAGAACTCACCAAACTGGAAGCTGCCTGTTGCCTGCCCTATTCTCTTCTCTCTCAAAATCCAATATCTTAGCCTCTCCTAGAACCGGGATTCCTAGGAAAATTAGCTATAGAAATGGAAACAAACAACTCAATGGATGGGTGTTTGAAATTAGATATAGCAGGCAGTCTAGGAAATAATTGCCAAAAGGGAGTGGCTCCCTGCCAAAGGTCCGTCCAAAATTTAACACAATCCCCATGAATTGGGTCATATCTGATGAACTGCAAGATAGACTCCAATAGTGACTATTGAGACAATTATAGGGGTGTGTAGAACCATCAACCCCCACACTTAAGTGCCTTATATTTATTAAAGATAAGTTTTGTATGTACAATTACCAAATTTCCCCACTGGGCCAAAGAAGTAAGAAGACACCTATTGTAAAGTGCTATAGCTGTGTATTTTTTGATGAATGATAATAAATTTATTAATTCAGAAGCAGATTTAGAGTGAGTTCATACAACATCCCAGGGAGAGGTGCGAGCTGCAGCCCCTCCTTGAATCTTACAAGTAAACTGGAAAAGAAAAGTAAGAATCACAACTGAGCCCAAAACAATTCTTCTCTATTTACCCCTTGCTTAGCTAACACATCTGACAAAGTATTTGCTGATCTCCTCACCCACTGTACAATGACCAACATATTCTTTGTCAACCAACTAAATTTCTTCATTTCATTCTTGTAACGCCACATGGCCTCTTCAGGATTTTTCAACCAACCCACCACCACTTTGGAATCCCCCTCGATTGTTAGGTGTTGTACCCTCAGCTGGTTTGCAAATTGCACCCCTTGTACAACAGCTGAAAGTTCTGCCCTGATGGAGTCCCCAATTCCCAAGGGACCCGAGTAGGGCAACAAAATCTCTCCCTTCTCGTTTCTCAAAGCACCCCCCATTCCGGATAATCCTAGATTACCCATGCTACTTCCATCAAAGTTCAACTTCAATGAGCCTTCGGATGGAGGAGACCAGCTTGCAATTGATTTGTCCTTTAGAGATGAACACCTCGCTACTGCTAACCAATTTCTCCAAAGGTCATTAAAGGAGAATTGATGAAAGATTTCCAAAGTCTTCATCCAAGTCATTGCCCTATTTAACACACAGTCTTTCAATTCCTGACTGCTCCTTTCCTTCTCTTGAAAAATTCTAATATTCCTTTCTTCCCAAAGAGTYCAAATCAAGGCAGCACGAGCACATCTCCACATAATTCTCCCTATTGTTATAGGCCAATAAAAGGTAGAATGGTTGAAGAGCATGTGAACTTCTGCTGGTAGACTCCA